GGCTGTATTGCGCGCGGTTCCTGGCGTAGGGGTCGCCGCCCTGACATGATGTTGTTCTTGATCGCTTGCGCGGATGATTGCGCGTTGTCTGGGTGCCCCAAGCATTTCGATGTCAAAGTCTGCGAATGATTCAAGGAGCGCCCCAGGGATGCCTCGGGGGGGTCGGGGTCGACCCCCCGACCAGAGTTGGCAGTTGTCATGTTTGCGAACGTGTGTTTGCCAGAAGATCATCGAATGCTACGGATAATATCAAACTGCACTGGGACCCCTACTTGCAAATGTGAAGCATATTGCCGTTGACGACGCGGGCAGGGGGGGGTCGAACGGTGGCGACGTCGACGCGGGAGGGCCCCGGGCGGTTCGACCGTCTGAACCATAGATTTGCAATGGCGGTCCGCACGTCGAATACGACGCGACGGAATTATTCGAGTCATGCGTTTTCTTGCGCGCGCAGTTGTCGGACGCAGACCGGGCGACTTATCCGGCTGCCGCGCCCGGACTTACGGGCGGAATTTTGAACGCGGACGAGGGGGCCTTCGGGGGGGTCGCCCCCCTTGCAGAGGAAGCTCTGGCCGCAGTGTTCGCCGAGGCAGGGAAGTCACGGTTGCAGGTGTAACCGAGAAGCCCAGCGACGACCTCTTTCCCCCAATTTCATCGCTTGGCGTCTTGCAACGCCGCTGGAGTCTGGATGGTAAGCCCGCGCGGAGTCCCACATGCGAAATGCGATTGGTTGGGGGCCGTCTGTCATTCGGCAAGCTGCGCGGCCAAAGTGACGGAACAATAAGGCAGCGGCTTCCTTGCGCATCGCATGTTTCATGAAGTCTACCTCGCATTATCGGCGGTGTCTTGGGTTTGGTATGAACTTCCAGATGCGCCCATTCGCCAATGCGATGATGCTGCCCTCGTTAGTGACTTGCGCGCTCATCGTAGAACCATCGCCAGTCACCATGTCATTTGGGGCTCGTACACCAGCGAACCAGAGCGGCGTTCCGCGTCGGCAAACGCGCGTTTCGCACAGTGCCCTGCAGGTCTGAATTCTCGCGGCCAGTTAAGCGTTCGGAGCCGAGCCACTTGCCTCTCTTCTCACGTGGGAGCAATTCCTCAACGGGTACCCCGGTGCACATCTATCGAAGGCAGTCAACCTGCGCGCGTTATCATCGGACCAGGAGTTCCTCGACCCATGCTTCTCCCCCGGTTGCGTGGCACTGACGCCGCCCCCGTGCCCGGGCGCATTTTCCGGGGCGTCGTGAGGTTTCAGCGCGGGCGCGCGCGGACTGGGTCCGCCGACGTCGCGGCCGCTGCATGACTTTCCTTGCCGGGGGCGCAGACGCGGAGATAGCGCTCGGATTGGAACGCTGCCCTGAACAGCGGGCGATCGACGCCTGCGCGCTTGGCGCGGAGGTTAGAACGGCAGTGTAATGTCCAGACTTGGTCGGGGCGTGCATATCGCGTCGGGGGTGCAACCTCGGGCCTCGCGCACGCGCCTTCGATGTCACCGTTCACTCGTTCATCGCTGAACTCGGCGGCCAGCCCAAATGGGCCGAAGAGACTTCTGGCGATGATATCGAGCTTCGGGATGAGATGACTGCCGGATATGCTGAGGCTGCCGGAATATGTGGAAGACCCGCTGTCGGCGCAAACCGCAGCGTGGATCCCATTGCCGTCGATGATGCCGGCGAGCCAATTGCTTTGCTGACTGGCAAAGAGTGGCGGGGCTCTGCCCCGGGCGTCGCGGCCAGCCCGATAAATGCGCCAATGCCCCCGGCCACCGCTGAGTTAGTCAGTGTCGACGCTCGGGGCTCGGTCGCGGCAGTGCAGGTGGGCGCTGCTTCTGGCGCTGCCGCGGGCTCAGTGGGCGGTCTGCCGCCTTCGCGAGTGGCGACGCCTCCTCCTTCGCCGCCGCCGGGACGCCGAACGCCCCGACCGTCGCCTCCGAGGAGAGTTGCCCTTGATCACAGCGGAGGAACGCCACCGCCCGAGGTTAGACGTATTGGGGACATTCGCGTCGATGTTCTTACGATCCCTGTGGCCAGGCCATCAGTTGCCGCGACTTTCGCGGCGCCCTCAGCGATGCGTCATGCGGGTGGGAGAAATCCTGAGGAAATGCGACGCCAACGAGACTAGATATTGGAAAACGATCCAGCATTTCTGGCGGGGAAATGGACGGCGGGTGTTCTATCGCTACAGCCGGAAGTGACAATGATACTGAACCCTGAGCACAATCGGAGGCCCAACCCTGATCGGACTGGGAAGGGTTCAAAGGATACTGACGTTTTAAAGTATGACGATTTTAACTGTAGATGATCTCAATGACTGCCGGCTACTTAGGAACGCGCGGCTGAGCCGCGCACTTCCTTGGATTTGATCACTGGCTGGACCGTGATTTGTCCTTGTCTTTGGCCGCGAGCGGAATGCGCGGTTCAATCGTGTGGCTTCTGAAGATCAGGACAAAGTTGCTGACGCGAACAATCATTTTGAGTTGGCGCGCTTTATTACTTGATTGGATTCGTCAGTTTGTTTCGGCCTGGTTCAAGAGTTCTGTCAGGGGTAGATGCCGTCTCGCCCCGTGCGTTGTAAAACGTTTGTTCTTGGGGTTTGGCGACGGGGGGGTCAATGCGCGTGGGGGCGGCAAGACGTCTGGCAATTCCTGCCGCGCGGGAGTTCATGCGACTCGATATTCGCTTTGTCCCGCCGCCGCCGCCATCGTCATGGGATACCGCCGCTGGCCACTTCTGTGGTGCCCGGACCGTGTGTAGCTATTTCCGCCAAGTGTCAAAGCGCGCGCCCTCCCTTCCGCCGGGACGGGCGCATAGTTGCATACATACACTTATTGTGGATTGGTTTACCGGGCGCGATAACGGATACATGCGTAGGCTATGTCGGGATCGATGATGACGCAACCCATTGAATAGGCACACCGACTTGCAATAATAAATCAAGCCAGCATGTCCACCATACTGTCAGAGACTTCGGATCCTCTCTGAAGTTACTCGTCCGAACTACCCGCGACCCCCCTCCAGCTCTATGGGGGGTCAAGACGCATGCTGTTTATTCCCGCCCGCCCCCCAGCGCAAAAAATGACACCCGAGCCTCGGCGTGTTCAGCGGTCGTCAATGGGTGGACAACTTCTGGGAGCACTGAACAATACCCATGTGCGCGATGCTGGGGCGAGGCGCGCCGCGCGAACCAGGCGCGCCACGTGGGCCAGGTGTGCCGGGCACCCGTGGGGCCCAAACGTGCCCTGCCCACCTGGCGCGCCATGTTTACCGCATGCTCCAACCGCGCCAGGTGCGCGGCGCGCGCGTAGACTGTGCCAGGTGCGCCCGCCTACGTGACAGCACGCGTCGGGGAATATGTCGGTTCACCGTCCGTATCGAAGACCTGTGCACAATCGCGACGGGGTGGCCAACCATGGTGTTTTGTGGGCCTGCACGCCGCAGGCAATGGGCCAGCACCCCCGCGTTGTTTTCCCATCACAAAACCAATGCAAAGTGACCGCGGGGTGGCCGCGCGCGATCCGGGTGTAGCCGCGAAGCGCACTTTGCATGGTTATTTCACTCGGGTTGTGGCCTTGCGCACAGGCAATATGATACCCCCCCGCCGCCACTGTCAAACAACATTACAAAGTGTTCGCGGGGCCCACGGGCATGACCCAAGAGATTGGCCCGAAGTGCATTTTGGTTTATTGACAGGGATGGTGGGGGGGCGTCATTGGTCCTTGGCTGCCATTCGTCTGGGGGAAGGGGGTGTTTACTTATAGGGAACAGTGATAAACCGCTCCCCGAAGGGGAAGAGGAAAGATGGAAGAGGACCCCCCTAAACAACTATCGCCCTATAGAGGGCTGGTTGGATTTATTACGAGCGGTGGGGAGTCCTAAACCCCGACGTGCCCCAGGATGGCCCCAGGGGCCTGTGTTGAGACCCCCTTGGACGTATCTGCTGGGCTGTCCCAAGGGGTCCACGTGGGGGAGTGTGCTCGGGAGGCAGAGTCGGCGCCGCGCAGAGGGTGTTGTGGCGAGGGGGTGGCCCTCTGGGAAGGCATGATGCTTCTTACAAGGGGTCGTGGGTTCAATGGGCGCTAGGCGTGAAGAACAGTAGCCGATGCGCTCGCCAACTATGCCATTGACTCCACAAGTTCCTTTTGGGGTGGGGTTCGGACGCCAGAGTTGCTTTCAGCATGGATGTTGCCATGGTCTCTGGTGTCCAGACGGTATCGCTATCTTTGCATCTGAAGGTATGTACGCCTCTGGATTGGACAGCTGCGATGCCAAACTCTTGGCGTTATAACTTGCAGTGGCGGCTTTCTCACTCAAGGTTGCGCGCGGGAAATATGGAGTTTGCCATCGTTAGGGTATCCTCCTTCACGATCTGAGTTGCACCAGTTGCGGGCTGAGCTGAACTGACACTGAGCTTTGGCCTCACTGGTCTTTAGCCGTGACCACCTGAACTGAACTGAGCATGAAGGGGTCGGGGCCTCCAAGGGATGCTTCTTTGGAGGCCAGAGGGCTTCCAATACGTCGGGTGTTGCCGAGGTGTCCCTGGCTCACTGGTGTCCCCAGGGTTTTTCTTCGTCACTCTGAAGCCCCCGGGGCTCTCTGGTCCTCGTGAGGGGGCCCCCTGGAGGCCACGGTGGCCTCCCTGGCACATCCTGGAGGCTCCTTGGGCCATGGACACCTCTGGCAACAGCCGAGGCCCTCTTGGCAGACCGCCCCCCAGAGTCCACTTCGATCTGGCCGTTCCGGTACGGTGCCGATTTCGTCCAGCCCGGTTCGATTCCGTCATTTCGACATTCCGACGATCCGACGTGTCCCGATGCTTCCGTGGCGGCGTTGCGCATCCTGGCGCAGCCGACCCGATCCAGTTCCGACTCGGGGCCGATGCAGCCCGGTCCGAGGCACATTCCGATCCGATCCGATTTCCCGATCCGGTGCTGCACGACCCCGCCCCCCTCGCCCCACCCTTCGCGCTGCCACAAGACAGAATGAGCGGATCGCGCTCAGTGAAGTCGCTGGCCGACATGCTCGACAGCCTGCAGCCCGCGGCGATGGCCGTCGCGCCGCCCGAGGGCGCCTTCGGGTGTGCCGACGACACCGCGGCCGCCTGCGGGCCCCTTCGGCCGCTGGAGGGCGGGTTCGACATCCCCGGCGCCGCGAAGCGGAAGGCGGGCTTCGCAGGAGGTCGAGGTGCCTCCGCCTCTTCTCTCGTCTGAAGCGGAAGCACTCTCGTCGCCACGGCCGGGTTCCCCCCGAAAGTCTGTTCAGAGCGCTCAACAGGAGAGGTCCGGGGACCAGCGGTATCGGTACCTTTTTGCCCCCCAGCTTCGGGCGTCACAAGATCTCGCGGCGGCCGCTTGGTCTTTCATGGAGGTTCATTTCGGGCCCTTCAGGGCCGTCAGGAACGATCTGGGATGAGGAACGGGTCCCTCAGGAAGGGGTCGAGGTTTCGGCATCCAAGGCGGGCTTCTCTGGGGCGTCCTAGAGGGACGTGGTGATGGGGGAGTGTGGATATCATGGCCAGGGTCACGATGTCTCCCAGATTTCATGGCTCCCTTCTCTTCGTCCGCGCACATGCCTTGGGCCATGATGCGCAGCCCCATGCCTCTCTTCATAGCCCCCTTCTTGGGCGGACCCGAGCTCCGAGTGCCAGGAAAGATCTCGCGGCGGCTGGTTGGTCTTTCTGGAGGCTCGTTTCGGCCGCCAGGCCTGTCAGAAACGATCCGGGATGAGAAACGCCCCCCCCCCCCCCCAGGAAGGCGGTACGCAGCGGAAGGTGGATCGAAGGATCGAGGTTCGTATTTGTTGGGGAGGATGCTCGCCGCAACTGCTGGATTCCAACACGATGTTTTGGCAGGGCGTGCCCCGGGGGAGGTCCGCGGCCCGAGGTTTGGCCATCAGTCCAGACCATGCGCTTCGTCACTGCAGGCCGCGACCGCGACTTGTTCTTCAAGTTTGGGCCTCTGGAAACACGTTTCGGGGTCCGTGGAAGAAGCCATCTACCAGTGAGCACAACACTGTCCCTGACCCTGAGCACCATGAGTTCGTGAGCTAACTGCGGTCTCCAGTTTTTAGGGGTATCCGCAAACATGTGGGTGGCTTCGTGCGATGTATTTGCTAAAAGAGCGACCCCTATCCCTAAGGTGTTTGGCCCTCTTAACCAGGGGTACTTATATTGTTTAGCAGCTCGATCCCGGGAAAAAAAGGGGTCGACAGGTCTAGTTTTGGCGGCCATGTTACGCAGCAAAGCGTGACGTCGGATGCCCGGGCCAGGCGGATTCGAGTTTCGAGGAGGATTTGGTGGCGGACGCGGACTCCGACAGCGGCGAGGACGAGCCAGAGGTCGCCGGCGAGTCCAGGGCGGGAGCCAGAGGGCACAGGCCTTGTGAGATGGCGGCGGGGCCTCTCGGGGCCCTCGCGCCTGCGGAGCAGTTGTGTAAGCCTCCTCCGCAGGCAGAGACTGCTCCTCAGAAGGCTGGAGGGCTTCTGACAAGACCCGCCGCTGTTTGAGAAGGCCTGCCCCCTCTCACTTCCCCCCCCTCGCTCGCCGCCGAAGAGGCAGAGGACGAGGATGCGTGGGCGAACAACGCGTCCGTATCCGGGGCCTCGCGGCCCGGGACCATGTACCGCGACCCTGTGGATACGAACGTTTTTGCGCGGATGCCGCCCCGCGCTGAACGCCTCCGTCCGACGGCGTATCCGCGGGATCGCGCCCCAGAATTCCGACCGCGAGGCCGCGGATATTTAAGATTTTGTTTGTTTCTTTCTCCTGTCCTTCTTTCTCCCTTCTGCTCCTGCTTCTCCTCCTCCTCCTCCTTCTCCTCCCTCTCGGCGCGAATACTGAACATTATCTGTGTTCTTCCTCCTGTCCCTCTTCCTCCCTTCCGCTCCTCCTTCTCTGCCTCCTCCTCCTCCTCCTCCTCCTCCTCCTCCTCCTCCCTCTCCCTTCCCCTTCCCATCCTCCTCCTTGCCCTCATCCTCCTCCTTTTTTGACGTTGCCCAGACGTGACGCGCAATCTTGCCGCGATCTAGTGCTAAGAGAGAAGATACAGTATACCGACTCAGGCAAAGTGTAAACGAATTAGGCTCGGCGGGCGCAGCAAGAAAAGTACAGGCACCGAGGCGCGAATCTAGTGCAGGGTCGTAAGACCTAAGAGTCTGCGCCCGCCAGGCCGCAGACGTACAGCTGAGCCTGGTGGTACCTTGGTGCCCCCCATACCATCGAATGGACACTTACATACTCCCCAATCCCCTTAGTTTAACCAGGAGGTGATCTGTGACGAGGCAAAACAAGTGCAATGCGAGAACTGGTAAAATATACAGGGGCTATGGGAGTAGGTGCAGCGAAAGCTTTCAATATATGTTGGGGCTGGCACAGGCTTTGCTGGCTGGCCCTGCAGCAGAGTAAGAACAATTAGCCTGGCGAAGGACCCAACCATATGCAGCTGTGAGCACCGCAGTCGTGAGTATCATCATCAGTGGAGCTCCCTAGGGGACCCGGAGGCGTGTGAGGGGTGTGCCGAAATGGGTGTGGCGGACGCATGTGGGCGGTGCCTCTAGGGCCTTCGGTGGAGCTCCTTGTGGTTCAACGAAACGCGTGAGTGGTGTGCCGAAATGGGTGTGGCGGAGGCATGTGGACGGTGACATTGGGGCCTTGGGTGGAGCTCCTGATGGGGCCACGAAACGAATGAGGGGTGTGCCGAAACGGGTGTGGCGGACGCATGTCGACGGTGGCATCGGGGCTTTGGGTGGAGCTCCTTGTGTGGCCACGAAACGTGTGAGGGGGTGTGCCGAAATGGGTGTACGTGGACGGTGGCACTTTGGCCTTGGGTGGAGCTCCCTATGGGTCCACGAAACGTGTGAGGGGGTGTGCCGAAATGGGTGTGGCGGACGCATGTGCACGGTGAAATTGGGGCCTTTGGTGGAGGTCGCGATGGCGCCACGAAACGTGTGAGGGGTGTGCCGAATTTGCTGTGGCGGACGCATGTGGACGGTGGCATTGGGGCTTTGGGTGGAGGTCGCGATGGCGCCACGAAACGTGTGAGGGGTGTGCCGAAATGGGTGTGGCGGATGCATGTGGACGGTGGCATTGGGGCTTTGGGAGGAGCTCCTTGTGGGGCCACGAAACGTGTGAGGTGTGTGCCGAAATGGGCGTGGCGGGCGCATGTGGGCGGTGTTTCTGGGGCCGTCGGTGGAGCTCCCGATGGGGCCACGGAACATGTGAGAGGTGTGCCGAATCGGGTGTGGCGGACGCATGTGGACGGTGGCACTTGGGCCTTGGGTGGAGTTCCTGATGGGGACACGGAACGTGTGAGGAGGAGGGGAGGAGGAGGAGCAGGAGGAGAGGAGAGGAGAGGAGAGGAGAGGAGAGGAGAGGAGAAGCGAGGAGATGAGAGGAGAGGAGATGAACGCGGGGATCGTCTCTTCAAAACGAGGGCCCAACACCACAGGACGGCTGGGAACAACAGTTCTTGGGTTGCTACCAGTGTATGTTCGGTTCCTCGGGGGGGGCTTCAACATATCAGTTCCCAGGGGGGGTGCCCCCGTCACTGTGGCCACCATTGTGGCTCTGCTACCCCCCTTGAAAGTAGAGCTTGCTATAGGGCTGAACAGTAGCAACAGGTTGAAGTCTGTACTGTGGGAAGACAGGTAGCTAGCAGGCAGTACGGGGCCGCACCCTGGATCAAGGTGAGCCTGAACGAGTAGAAGGACCAAATCTGCATGTACTGAGATCTCCGCACTCCCCACCGCCCCAGCTCGTCCACCCCATCCCGCTAACCACCCCAAGTAACAGTTTAGGCTGGAGTACTGGCAAGAGAAGAACATAGCCATAGGCTTGGATGTATCTTACACGCACGAGATAAAGGAGGCTGGGTGCTGAAGTGCAGGGGGGTGACGAGATAGCGCAGGACTACAGAGAGAAAGGGGACCACATGATGAGGTGCAGTTGCATGTTGAGATGCAGCAGCATACTGAGAGAGCTTTATGCTATGGGTTCACGCCCTATGGCAGGGAGGCCTGCGATGGGATGCGTTCGCTTATACATGCAGCGACATGTGATGTATAACTGCGGCCTGCTGTGAGCAAGCGCCCGTCCCCTTCCTACCTCCAATCGCCACAGCCAAATCCCCACGAATAACACTATACATCCCCAGGCCGAAAGTTTTTTCCTGTTGGACTAAAAATATGAGAACATCAATGGATCCAATTGCATCCCTTTTCGGGTGTGGAAGAGTTTCGTGGAACGCGGGAGGGTTTTTTTCCCCAAAATGAACAGGGGAAGGATGAGGGAAGAGGCAAGAGGAGGTGAGAGGAGAACAGAGGGGATCGGCGCGTCGCTTCCGACATGCGGGGCTCAAGAGGAAAATCTTTCGGCCTGCGTAAGTAGGCATGAGTGCTGGCAATTGTGATGCACTAGGTTGGCCTGGTTGTAACGTGTGCGCGCTGTCATTGTTCCACCCTTCAGTGGGGCCTGAGTCTATGTTTGCTAAGGCTAGCGCTCTGTAGGCTGGCCTGTGGTTCACATCATCTCCAGGCGAAAAAGAACGCCGGGTGACAAGCGGGAGGGGCCAGAGTTCGGCGGCCCAGAGTAGGGTTGATTCCCCTCCGCCGAAGGCCAAAATGGCCAGTCAGATCCCGAATTTACAATGACCCAACCGACTCAAGCCACATGCCGTCCCCCCATTTCCAGAACATGTATTTTGGTCGGCGCTGCTGGGTTGTAGCTGGACGAGGACGAGAGACTGACGTAGCATGCGAGGCGTGCCAAGCAATACGGTGGCCAGTCGCGAGAGAGCTACACGTGTACGGTGCTGGCTGATGGCAGAGAAACGACCGTAGCTGTGGGCTTGGATGCATACCTGTCAAACTCAAAGGCTGCTGGGGGTACAAGTGCAGCTGTTGCGGCCCGTCAGCAGGCAGCGGCGACGGGGAAGAAGAGGGGGGAGCAGGTGAGGGGACACACCAAAGGAGGCGAGCGTCGAAGTCCTATGCTTCCGCACGGGGGCGTACAGGACCTCGGCCTCCCCCAACAATTTGTGAGGCACTGCCCCTGGGGGGAATAGCCCACAGTGGCTGATTGCGCGGGACATGTGAGAGGAGCATGAGCGACGAACGACTGGACGATAGCAGGATGAGTCTTGGTACCGTAAGGTTAGATGATTGGAAAAAGCGGTATGGGGGTGCCGCTAGAGCTGTAGAATTGTAGAACTATAGTCGTTGCTAGAACTGTAGTCAGAATTACCGTCAATACTAGATGCTATGGAAGGCTGTACTTCGTTCTGCGGTAATTGAAGTACTGGCGGTTGTTGCTGTGGATGTAGCGACGTCGTAGACTCTGAAATCCTTGTCGTAGTATTTTCCCTTGTTTGGTAACCCGAACAGCCTACAGTATGCGTGGTACCCCTGTCATCCCCAGTAAGCGCTGCCGTTCGCCTGTAGCGTTGAGAACCTTGGTTTCAGTGTGGGTGACGCTTGGTATTCAGGTACTGGAAACTTGGGCGTGGCCATGGTTGGCGCTGCCATGGCAGTGGGTATCTCTTGACGTTGTCGTAGCCCTGTTTGGCGTAGGTTGCGCTGGTGGGTGTACTTCTGTCAGGTACTGGTGGTGTTGCAGCTGGTGGTTGCGAATCGTCTCGATGTAGTCCAGGAGCCCTTGGTGGTTGCTGTCGTGGACCCATCGCTCTTCAAGTTGCTCTGTGCGTGTAGGTATTGGGGTGGATCCCGTCTGTCCGTCTTGGAAAGGGATCTGTATTGTGGCGTACGTTTGAGGTGCTAGCTCTGATTTGGGTATTTCATTTAGCCAGCGCTGAGCCCTTACGGGTGGGTCGCAGTCGGTTGTAGAGTGCGAGTGTTGTTCGCGAAGCTGGGTGGAGTGTAATGTCGCAGGGGTCGCGTTTTAGTGCTATGCTCCTGCTTGCGTCCTTGAGATATGTTGGGATGTGTTGTTGGAGGTGATGAAACGCACTTCGCGAAGAGTGTTAGGGAGAAATGCGTCGCCTGTATTACTGTCTGTGTGGCTTGTGCACCTCATCCGACCTCTTTGTGGGAAAGGCACGGGTTTCCGTAATCTAGTAGTGCTGACTTCTTGGGTCTTGTCAAGAGAAGTTCGTTGGGTGTAATTGTTGTTTGCCATTCGGGCTTGCGTCTAAGTCTTCGTTGCTCTCATTTTTTGTTGGCGCATGCCTAGGTGTCGAGTAAGATGTTTGAGGCCTTTGAGGCCGATCGCCGGGACTCGTCCTGAATGTGGCTTTGCTCTGTATGGCCAGTGGTTGCACTTCAGCGTGGTTGCGCTTCAGTAAATTGTTGAAGTGCCTCGTACTATTCCGCTGTCTCCTGTTGCCGTGGTGTCGCAATGTATTGCGGAATGTCGCCCATGGGCAGTGAGTGTGTAGTCGTTGCTCCTTTGCGTTCTGGTGTTTGTGGTTGTGGTGTGCCTGTTTGGTATATCTCGGCTGGTGTGATGGGAGGTGTTTGCTGCTGTGGTGCTCCGTCGGTGCAATCGGTGGTCCGACTTGTAGCGGTGATGTTGGTTGTGGTGGTGGGTTTGGCGTGTTGGGGAATTGCTGTATTGGTGAAGCGTGCTGGTGTGTGTTGTCGTGATGCCGTCCTATATGTCGTCCTTTTCGCCGTGGGTGTCGTCGAGGTCGTCGTATATGTTGCCTTCAAGTTCGTCATGTATGCGATTAGCTTCGCCTTCTACTTGTGTATGATGTGGTTACCGTCGTCCTCATCTTCCTCCTCATTTTCCTTCTCCCTCCTCCCCCTTCTATCCTTCCCTCCTCCTGCTCGTCGTTCTCCTCCTGCTCCGGCTCCCCCTCCTGGATGTGTCCGCGGCTCGTCAAAAGGACGAGGACGACGGGCTCCCCGGCGCCTGTGACGAGCAGCCCGGCGACGCTGCCACCGCAGGCTTGCGACGAGCGGCCGTGGCAGGCGCCAGGGCCGCGCGGGCCGGCCCTGGCGGCGGGGCGCGGGGGCGCGCCGCGAAGAGGCGGAGGGCCGAGGCGCTGCCCGCGGAGCCGCCGCCGCCAGGCTCCCTTGGCGGGGGGGCAACCTTGGTGGCCGTGGGCCACCGGCAACGGGGCTCGTCGCGCTCTCGCTGTCTCGCTCTCTCTCTCTCTCTCTTGTCTCGTGCCCTCCTCCCACGGCCTCCCCCAGATCCCTTTCCTCCTCCAGCCGAGGGGGCCAGACGCGCGGGGCTGGGCAGGCGAGGCACCTGCGAGGCCCTGGGCCATCGTCGGCGGGGCCCGTGCTCTTTCGGCCCCGCCTTCTTTTGTGGCCACGTCTCGCCCGCAGCCTCTGTCGCGGGCGTCTGCCCTGGCTCGCCCGCGCCTCTGCGACGCCGTGCTGCGCACAGGCCTACTCACGGGCCTTTGCACAGGCTGCCCAGGATGGTATCTAGGAGGAGGCAGAGAAGGACGAGGAGGAGGAGGGGGGGGTATCAGCGGCAACGTTACGGGGGGCTAGGCTGAGGGGGGGAGTCGTCGACCCCCACTCGCCCTCTCATCGCCGCTAGGTGCCAGATAGCCCAGCCCGCCAAAGGGCGTTCGGGTTCGCTATCGGGGGCCTATCGCTGGTTCGTCGGCGATGTACCGCTGTTTCCAGGTCGAGCCATTCCCACCTTGTCGTTTCCCCTTCGGGCGGGGCAGGCGGATGCTGGCCATGGCCCGTCCCGGCCCCCGAGATTCTGGGGTCGCAACGTTTGGCACAACGGGCTATCTTCGTCTTGTTTCGGGCCCCGCGACCCTCACGCATCGATTCGGTTCGACGAAGGCATCGGAAAAGTCGGGTCCAGAGCTCGGGTTGAGTGGTTTCTGCACGATGTTGCACATTTTTCGTGACGTTGGCTCCCATGAGAGTTGACGTCACGGCCCGTCCTGAGTCCTGTACCCATTGGCCGGTCTCTGAGATCCGACGTTGCAAAGACACTGCAACATCGCAAAAATCACAGCCAGAGTCCGCACCCATCTTTCCGCATGCTTTTCGAGCCGGATCGATCTGTAGGGGTCCCGGGCGCTGATTTTGAGCGCCATCACGCCTGCCGCGCAGAATTTGCAACGCCAGGATCTGAGGTGTGGCATCCAATCTACAGACAGCCCGGCCCCTCCCCTCGCCAGGGGCGCCCGCCGCCGAGCCCGCGTCCGAGGCGGTGGCGGCCGCGGCCGCGGCGGCGGAGTCGCGCTCGCGTCGGGGACGGCCTGCTGCGCCCGCGGAGGACGCCCCCTGGGCGCCTGGGCCGCAGGGCGCCTCCTTCGGCCCGCGCTTCCGCCACCTGTCCGGCGTGGAGCTGGCGAAGGCCGAGGGGGCCGAGGAGGAAGAGGGTACCGATACCGCTGCCCTTGCCCTTTCCGGGTTGGGAGGCCCTTGCCGCCCCCGCTGGATTCGCCTCGGAATTCTGGTCAGAACGCACCCCGGTAGAGATTCGGGGAGGCATTGGTAGTGTCGGTACCTGTTGGTCCCCCCGCTGAGGGGGGGTCGAAGAGTTGCGCGGGTCTAGTGAAATCGCGGCGGATCGTTCCAGAGCGCTCTCAGAGCGTTCATGATCTCTCTGAACTGCCGCAGCGCCAAATACATCCTTCAGAGCTGTGGGATCTCAGAGAACCTCGATTTGTCCCAGTTCGATGTTTCCCTTGCGCTGCCCTCGTTAAAAGGGGGTCGAGGGGTCGGGGTTCGAGGATCGATGTTCGAGGATCGAGGCTAGAGGGTCGAAACATGGGGGTCAAGGATCCCTGTTCGAGGACCGATGCTTTCGGATACTGTCTCAGAGCTATTCAATAATAGTGAGTGTGGCGGGGTGGAATGGGTGGGGGCACACCCTGACCTTTGAGAGTGATGAGAAACAGCCCTCCAGACCTAGAGGCCTATCTGGACTACCTGAAACCTCGACAAGAATTTGGATGCCGAGGTCTTGGTGCTATGTCGTAGCCCTCCTGGAAGGTCACTGGGGGGGGGCGAGGGCCTAGGGATGGTCTGTCCTTCGCGGGGCGTGGGCGGTCGGATCGCGCTGGGGTCAGATTTTGTGCGCACGGGGAAGTTGGAGAGCGGGCCGTCGGGCGGCATGGCCGGGAGCTGGCTATCGAACGTTCTCGGAGTTCGGCTCGAGTCAGACGAAACATGTAATTCTTAAGTAGCGCGTGTTCTACGTTCTGGTTCGCGACCCCCCCTCCCTGCAGGCTTGCGCGACTGGTCAAACCAGATCGACGAAGCACCGGCCCAGAGCCAGACCGCCCACTTCCCCCACCCGTTGGGCCAAAACATCGAACCCAGAAAAGAGACAGCGCCTACTAAACTGTCGGAGCTCCGCGCGGACTTCTTGGATCGGCGCTGGGCCACCATGGCGTCGCCTCCAGCGATGCCCCTGGCGCGCTCCGCGCGCCAGGGAGGGTGCCGACAGCTCGGCGCGGAACTCTGAAAATTCATGCTTATATGTTCGTTGTTCTTCCCTCTAGTGATGTTGTATCGAGCATTCTTTGAACTTTCCACTTTTCGGAGCCTTTCTCAGGGCCTCTCGAGCCCTCCGGGAAATGTGCTCCTCCTGCTCTCAGGCATGCGAGCAGGGGCGGCCGCTGGCGGCGGCGTCAGATAGCTCCAGTTCTATACGTGCCGATCGCCGATGGGGGACACCTCGTCCCCCTTCCCTTCCGCCAGGAACGGTCGCGGTGGACCCTGCACACGCTCTCGGACACAAAGCCCACCTCCTCGGAGGACTCCCCCCCGCCCAGTCGTTGTCGTCGTCGTCGCCGCCGCCGCCGTCGTACGGGGTTCGAGGATCGAGGTCCAGTCCTTGGGCGTTTGGGGGTCCTTCTTATTGGATCCTCCTGCAGCGCCCTCGCTCCCACGGCTGGACTCCCTTCGAACTCTTCGTCAGAACACACACGAGGAGGGGTCCGGGGGTCGTCGTCACCATCATCGTCGTCGTCGCTGTCCTCCTCCGCCCGATGGGGGGGTTGGAGGGGAAGATGACACAAGATGGAGTTGGAGGAGGAGAAGAATAGAGAAGGGGGGGACGAGTGGGAGACGGTGGTGGGGGAAGGAGAGGGGGACGTGAGTGGGGTACGGGAAGATGGGATGATATTGGGGAGGGAGAGGGCACCCAAAAGTCATATATACATAGAAGCAGGAAGATGAGGCAGAAGTGGAGGGATAGGATTAGGAGGAAACGAAGGTAGAGGTGGAGCACGCAGAAGAGGATAACGACGAGGCGTAGGAAGGGAACAGTAATGATGCAGAAGAGGAGGATGAGGAGTCAGATGAGGAGGATGACTGCGGCGGAGGAGGAGGTTCAGGGGGGAGGATGTGAGATGGATTCTGAAGGGAAGGGACAGACGAAGATAGTCAGGGTTGAAAGCCTCGGGATGCGAATGATCCATCCCGTAGCCTCGTCTGAAACGGCCGAACAATTTCGACAGCCGTCGACCACCTCCGAAGAATGAGGGAACTGCACGAACACTCCGCAAGCCTTCACGCCATTTTTGAATCGTTGTCGCTTCGCGTATCCCTCTCGGTGCAGCTTAGGCCGTTTAGGTGCGCGGCTTTAGTTTGCTCCTGTTGTCAATTAGTAGGCCCGCGCCCCGGACTTACGACTCGCCGCTTGCGCTTTCGCCCGCGGCCGCGACCAAAAAAAGTATCCCTCACGGTGCCGGTGGTCATTGTGTGGTCTCCTCGCCTTTCGCGACATTCCATATGAGTGCATTGGTTTGGGCACGTTGACTTCTATTTTAAGTACTGGCAGTTCGACAAGGGGCGGTCGTCTACGTCGTCTACTGCTTGGTCTGAGTTTGAGCTGTGGCTTGCATTATGTCTTTCTGTCTTGTCTTCCGTTCCTCTTCGCTCTTCCGTTCCTCTCGCTCTTTTCGCGTGTCTTTCGTTCGTTTTCCTTTCCCGCCGCGTAGTTGCCCTCTCGTTGCCCTTTTCCAGCGTCCCACTTGTGGCTGCTCGGCTCGCGTCTTTCTTTCGACCTTCTCGGCGGTGCGCGGTTGGACCCGCGTCACTCGCGATCAACAAGAGTATCCCACACCAGCACGTTCAGAACTGTTGCCCAGAGAGTTGGCGCGAACCCAGACGGAGAGACACATCTAGTGAAACAGAGCGGGCAACCAGGACGAACAGAGAGAGCATTGGGAGCAACGGGGCTGCCTTGGAGGGCCTCTGCGGGCCATCCCTGGAGCCCGCGGGGGGCGAGGGGAAACGAGGAGGAGGAGGGGGAGGAGGACAAGACAAACCGACTCTTGGGGCCCTTTTGTGGCGCTCTGGGGTCCGTCTTGGGGCCATCGTGGGGCCGTCGTGGGGCCCATTTGGGGCTCTGTTGGGGCCCTCTTGGGGGCCTCCTTTTGAGGGCCTCTTGGCAGCACATCTTGGAAGCTATCAATCTAAGGAGGGGGGGTCCCCGATGTTAGCCCACCCCCCTGGGGCCATGATCTTCGTCTTTTGGGGCGCTCTTGGCACGCTTTGGGGCGCTCTTGGGGCCGTCTGGGGGGGTGCTCTTGGGCTCTCTTGGGTCGTCTTGGGGACATTTGGAAGCTTCAATAGCGCATCGGAAACGAAAAAGCGAACAAAAAGGCACACATCAACGATTTGTTTCAGGTTTTTGAAGGATGTTGGCCTCTTATGGGGGGTCCTGCAGGTGGAGGCCATCTTGGAGCATCGTAGGCCCTCCTGGAGCCAAATTGGGCCATCTTGGGCGCTCTGACCGATCGCGTACCCCCTAGGAAAAACATAAAACAGCAACAACGAAAAACCTCAGGGACGGGAGGGGCACGGTACGTACCCCTCCCCGAAGGGCAAACCGTTTTGGAAGAGGAAAACAAACATCGCTTGACCACCTTGGCGCAAAGGGCTTGTGGGATTGCATGATGTCAGCTGATGGGTGTTCGGTTGCCCCCTCCTTTTCTCCTTATCCCCGACGGGCACGACACTGTTGCGATCGAAGGAGTGCAGCATGGGCGCGCCTGTGGCGTACGCTGGCGCACGCCTGCTGTGTATCTGGGCCCGCCCGCGCGCACGCTGACAGAATTGCGGCCCTTGCGGCCTACGGTAGGTTCGTGTCGTGCCGACGCAGTTGCGAACCGCCGCAGGCGTTCAAGATTGACCGCCGCCACGGGCCCAGTTTGGCCAATGTGGAACGATCAGGCGATGGAAAAGCCACCGGTTGTTCAAGGTTGAACGATCCGCGCGGTTTCAGAAACCAACGCCGTGGTCGTCATGACGCCAGGTGACGCTGCTATCTCTGCCCGCCTCCTGGCCTGCCCACTTGCCCGGCCTCGATGCAAACGCCGTCCTTTGGGCAGTGCAGCGCCCTGAAGCGGGCGCTCTTCTGCCACGCCTCTCGCCGCCCGCGCGCGCCGCCGCTCGCGCCCGCCTGCGCGCTCGGGCCTGGCGCCGAACATCGCGCAGGTGATCGCGGGCCGACTGTCGAACTAGGCAGAAGCGCAGGACATCCGACCCAGACAGACACGCGCAGGAGGTTTTGCATCCCCATGCCCCTCCTGGGCCCAAAACGGCCTGCTCGCGACGGCCTTCGCCGCTGTCGCCTCGCTGCCTCCTCACGTCCTCTGCCCTCCTCCGCCCTCCCCCGGGGCGAGGCGTGCCCTCATCCGCTGCGCTCTCTCCCGCGTACCTGCGCTGCCCGATTCTGCTCGGCTGCGCCTCGCTGCAGAGCCGACTGCCTGGCGCTCTGCTCTGGTGCGCCTGCCTCGCTCTTCTCCGGCTGCCGCCCGTCCGCTTCTGCGCCTTCGTCTCGCTTCGCCCGGTATGCTCGAGGCGCTTCTTTGGTGCCCGCTCTCGGGCAGCCCCCCCGCCAGGCGGTGCGGTGGCCACACCGTGTGGTGAATCAGTGGGGGTTCGGGGTGGCTGCATGGTTTTGGGACTCGGGTCGTTCTCCGAGGACGTCTCGGGCGTCTGGGGCCTCCAGGGTCCCAACACCGTGCAGTGACGGACCGTGCGGCGAGGTCTCTTGGGATCTCGAAGTCATTGCACAGTGTAACCCCGAAGCTATCCTTGGTGGGGGAGCTTCCTCTCCCGCCCCTTCTGTTCACCGTGTCATATCGTCTTTCTGCTTCGCGTCTGAGCGCCATCTGGCCGCGCTGCGCTTCTCAGGGGCCCAGGGGTTTTCCCTCTTCCTTCTCGTCGCCCTCGCCGTGTCCTTCCTGCAACTCCCGCCCCTCTCGGGCTGCACGGTGTGGGGGCCTCCTGGGGCCTTTTGGGCCGTCTTGGGGGGTTGGTGGCCCGTCTGACGCCTTCGGAGGTCGTTTTGGGGCCTCCCTGCGCTGTCTTGGTGCCCTCTTGGAGCGCTTCCGGGCCGTGTTGGGGCCCTCTTGGGAGGCTCTTCGACGATCTGTGGGTCCTTTTGAGCCGACTTTAGGCCCTCTTCTGGGGCCTCATGGGATGTCCTCTGGCTACCTTGACGGCCTCTTGGGCCGTCTTGAGCGATCGGGTACCCAAACAGGTGAGAGCCTCACAATCTCCACAACATCGAAGGCAATCGATGTGTTTCGCCTCCTCGGGCTCTCCTGGAGGGCCTCTTGGAGTCCTCTTGGGCCATGTTGGAAGCCTCTCGAGCCGTCTTGAGGCTGTTTGGGAGCATCGTGTGCTGTCTTGGGCCCTCTTGGGCCGTCTTTGGTGTCATGTGGCTGTCATGGAAGCCGTCTTGAGAGCCATCTTCGCCGCCCGGGGCTGGAAAAGCGCGCCGCGCGCGGAAAAGCAAGTTCAGGGGGGGCGGTCTGTCGGGGGTGCTCGCGATGAGGGGATCAGGGGGGGTTCAGCACTAGAAGACACCAAAACACCTTCCACATAACGGACGAGCATTCACGCCCGCTCCGTGCAGGCACGGTGGCGGATATCCACATCTACCGCCCCCTTGGGGTCCCAGGACATCGCCTCGCAGTCGTGGCGTGGGCCCCCGGACCTCCGATCTCCTCCCGGGGCCCGATGCGCGCCAGAGGGCCACGACTCGAGGAAGAGGCGGCCGTCGCGAGCGTTTCCGTAATGCCATACGTCCAGATCGGGGGCGATGCTCGCGCGGGGCCTTCCAGGACAACCGCCGTGCGGCCATGGCCTTCCTGGACGAGCTCCGGCGGCGGAGGGACGGAGGTGCGGCGGTTGCCCCCGCGGCGGGTGAGGAGGCTGCCGGCGCAGGCCCCGCGCGGCCTCGGCCGTGTGGGGGGGGCAGGGCCGCGGGGGTCGGGGAGCGCTCCTGGGAGCCCTGAGAGGCTCATCGTCGGCCTCTTTGGAAGTCGTGATATCAGTACTTGCAGCCTCGCAGGCTGGGCCCTGGGGCCGCAACCCCGCAGATACGGGGCGGTTTTTTCCCGCGGATGCCCCGCGCGGAGCGACTGCGTATCCGCGGGATCGCGCTCCGGAGTCCAGACCGCGAGGGCGCGGATACGAATACGTCCGCCGCTCGTAAGGAGGATCCCGCTATAGTTGCTCCTCGAAGGCAGTTCGAAGACACTCCCTTGTGGCTCGGCCTTGCGCAGCGCCCTCCTGTCACGGTCGGCCGCGGGCGGCCTCGGTCTATTCCAGGACGTTTGGCGTCTTGCGAGGCTGCGCAGGGGGAGGGGCGAGTGATGACCTGCCTCTGTGAGGCCGCATTCTTCCCGGGCGGCCTGAAGTCCCCTCTTCCGCAGGGGGGGGCGGAGAAGCAGGCTGGTCCTTCCCACGCTTCGATCCTGGTCGATCTGGTCCAGCGAGCTGTGCCGCTGTGGTTGGCTCACTGTCGTCGGGAGGCTGCAGGCTGGGGTTGCCTGTTCGGTGATGGGAGGCTCCAGCAGCATTCGATTGCGGATGATTCCGTCGCGGTTGCCCAGCAATTTGATTCGCCATGGAAACCCATTTGGGCCATCGTGTCAGCCTTGGTGGCCTGCGTGGGCCGTCTCGGAAGCCATTTTTGGCATCTTCGACGCCTTGGAAAGCGCCATCGGTGCGATCAGAAACCATCGGGAGAGGGGGCGATGTACGCGACGAGGCGTTGGAAGAGGGCCCCCCCTGTATAAAAAAAGACCTTGCAGAAGCCCTGCCAGACAGCACTTGGAATTACCACCACGCCTCAACGCGCCTGAGGGCACGGTGGCTGACCAAAGACTGGTTCCAGAGCGGCGCCGCGGGCAACCACTGTGGCTTGTTATCGAACGCAGAGAACCGTTAGGTGCGTGGGTAACCCGCTTCCGGCGTTCAAGGTTGAACGCCGCTGGTGGCCCAGAATCGGCCAGTGTAGAACGATCTGGCGATCGATCAGCTTCCGATCGTTCAAGGCTGAACGATCCACGCGGCGTCAGAGGCCAGCGCCTTGGGCCGTGGACTCCGCACAGCTTTCCCAGCCCCGCCAGGCAAGCCCACCTTCCGGCGCCCGGCGCCCGGCGCTGGAGCGGCGCCCCCGGCGCCGGTCGCCAGCCGCGCAGCCACGCGCGGGGCTCAGAGAGTGCTGGCCCCTCGGTGCTGCCGCGCCCGGCGGTCCCGCCCGCCTTGCCGCGGAGCCAGCGCGGCGCGACGGCGGCGATCCTTCGCTGGGCCTGCCAAGTTCGGGTGTTGCTAGAAGTGCTTCTGGTCCACGGTGCCCCCAGCATCTCCAAGGGAGGCCGCCACGGCCTCCAGAGGACCCCGAGGCCCACAGGGCCCCAGGGGCTCCAAAACTGAACGAAAAGCTGGGAGCCCCTTGGGCCAGGGGCACCTTCAGCAACCCCCGACAAGTGGGGGCCGCATCGCCGATGCACCGCCGATGCGGCTTGATGTGGGGCCCAATTTTCTCCGCGCTGGCGTCGCCGACTCACCACCGACGTCGCCGATGCATCGGCGAGGCGGCGCGATCCTCCGACCCAATCTACTCGGAACCCATCTGGGAGGCCGCTAGATCCTTCATACTATGCGGGCCGAACTTCCATACAATGGCCGAAAGTCCGTCCAAACGGCGCTCTTGCCTCGGCGCGGGCAGCACACCGCCAGCGTCACCTGCGCGTCGTGGCCAGTTTAAAAGCGAATCGAGATGATGTCTCAGCAGAAACTGGCGTTTTCGGTTCAGATGGGGGGCTGGGCGACGCGGACGAATCAAACGCACGTTTGACGAAAGGCAAAATCGAGGCGATGTACCAGCATATTGGGCCAGTTTGATTGCCGCCATTTTCCGTCGAACGCGTGCGGTGCAAGGGTCCGACGGTCATTATGGATCATTGTGCAGGTAGTTGCGCGTTTCGTGGAGGATGCTGCGGAGCTTATTCCATTATTGTTATCCATGCCGCGCCTCCGTCTACTCACTCCCTCCTCCTCCCTCCTTCTCCATCTGGCGATCAGAATCATCGCGATGCGCCAGGCGCAGCACTTGGGCAACACAAGGGGGTGCCGCCAGAGGATAGGTCACTTGCCAGTTCGTGCTCAGATTGTGGGATGTCTCCAGCGGTTCGCTTGTTTTACGGATGTAGGCGCGCCTTTTTCAGGGCCGCGCGGTGTTCGCGATGTCGCAACCATAGCTCTTGGGCGCCACGAGGGGGAGCGACCACGGGGTGGGACACTGGCCCGTTGGCGCCCAGCATTCGGGGATATCTCACGCGAGACGCTGGCTTTTGGAGGTGGGCGTGCTTGTTCTCAGGCCGCTACGAGGAAAGCGATTACTTGGATACCCCAGAGAGGGAGGGGGGGGCGCCAGAGGGTCGGATACTTGCCCGTTGGCGCCCAGATTGTGGGGTCGCCCCCTGCGAACAGGTGGCGTACGTAAGTCAAACATGTGTTTTCAGGCCGCGGCAATCGCGGCGTAGCAGTCATCACTTTTGGGCGCCACAGCGCCACAGGGGGGAGGCGCCAGGGGGTGCATTCGCCGGTGCGTTCGTGCCGGTGCGTTTGCAGGCGCCGCGACGACGTGGTTGACATACGTTTTGGTCTCTGGAAGGGTTAGCCGTTAGGGGGCAGGACACATGCGCGTCAGTGCCTAGATTGTGGGAATATCTCACGCGAAACGCTGGTTGTTGAGAGGAAGACGTGTCTCTTTTCAGGGGTGTGTGACCACTGCAATGTAATAGCGGGTAGGGTACTTCCCCATTTGCGCCCAGTTTGTGGGGATGCCTCATGCGGAACTCTGGCTTTTATGGGTTGATTGTGTTGATTATTGTTCAAGGTTGCGTGGTCGTCGTGATGTAGCAGGCGTGGCATATGGGGGCCGCGTGGGGGGGGGCGCTAGAGGGTGCATCACGGGCGCTGACGCTCACCCAGTTTCTTACATACCCGCTCACTTTCCGACGTTCGTAGACAGGATTCGCAAGGAAATGTGCGCGCCACCTGGCCAATGACAAATAACGTGGGTGAGGAGGATCAGGAGGAGGAGGAGGAGGGGCAGGAGGAGGAGGGGGAGTTGATGCATACAGGGGGATCTCCCGTAACGAAACATTTTCCACGCCGTCGCCTGTGCAGCATCTTGTTTTTGAGAGGCTCTACCTCCGCGTGCATGTGCCCTGTGCAGTCCATACCCTTCTGAGTATATTCCTCCCCCCTCTCTCGTCCGCTCTTCCGCTCATTTTTCGGTTCCTCCTTTTTCCGCTTGGTTTTCTTTGGTTCCTCCGCCTTGATGATGCCGCGCGGATTTGGCTGGCCACTTGGGCTTCGGGGCGCGCTGCAGTTAGTAGTGTTTTGTCCGTCTGGCCTCGTTGAAGGCGGGTTAATTTGCGCTGCGTTCCAGGCGCATCTGTCGCTGCTCCGCTTCTCATTGTGCTGCAGACGCGCGCTGGTGCGTTGCAGCGCGTTGAAGTACACTTGCAAGGTGCGCGCCCTCTCTTTCAAACCTCGCGGGGAGTGCGAGGACGTCTCAACTGATGCTGTTGTGTTTCATGATTCGGTGATGGGTTGGTTTGGTCGGCGCGGCTCTCGTCCGAGTGCTTGGCAGCGGGGGCCAGTTCCGCGAGTGGGCTCGCGACGTGATTTTAATTGGGCCGGAAGTGTTCACCAGTCCTGCGGTGCTCGCGCAGGGTCTGCCTGGCGGCGCGCACGACCAACTACCGCGCGGATCGCGCACTTCTTACGGCCTGGGCAGCACGAGCGGCCATGCGGTTCATATGTTCCAGCGGCCCGTGCGCCTGGCGCTGTCCGCGCGCTTTTCCCTTGGCCGTTTGCAAGGAGCGCCCGTGCGCTTCGCGCGGCGGCCCCCCGCCCCCCCGCCCCACGCGGATCATGCGGCCCATGTGGATTGTGCGGCCCTTGCGTTTCGCGCAGCTCCTGCGGTCCATCTGGCGCACGCAGCTCCCGCGCCCCGCGCGCGCCGCAGTCCCCGCGCAGACGTCGCCCCCGTCGCCATGCCCCGAGCTCTTGCGACAAGGGCGTCACCTGCACGCGGGCTAGGATGTGACTTGTACAGTTTGTCCCTTTCCGACTCTCCCCCCCTTATCCTTTTTGGCGTTCTACAGTTTGTTGCTTGGGTCTCCCTTTTCCCCCGTGTGTTCTTTGTTGTTTCTCCACCTTTCCGTTGCAGCGCGGATTTGGTTGTTCGTTTGCGGTGGTCGGGACTCGCTGCACTTAGCAGCGGTTCGTCCGCCAGGCCTCGTTTGCGGCGGGTTGGCCCGCGCTGCGCCCCAGGTGCATCGGGCGCCCCTCCACCTTGCGATGCGCTGCAGCCGTGCGGTGGCGCGCTGCAGCGCGTTCCTTTCCTCTCCTCTCCCTTCCTCCCGTGAGCCATTCTCTTCCGCCCCGCCCCCCCGCCCCGCTTCGCTTTCTGTTTGCGCGCGGGCCTTGGGCGGCACTCCGTTTTTCCCTCCTCGCCCCTTCGACCCAGGCCCCGGCGGCCGGAGCGGGCGGGGGGGCCTTGAATAGCGTCCCTGCCTTGCGGGGGGCAGTTTCAGTTGTTGCTCATTTTCCGGATTCTTCACGTTCCGTTTTCCCCTTCATCAGCCCCGCCATTATGCGCGCCCCCCCTTTGCTATGGCTGCCGCCATGCGAGGAAGTCTCAAGCGGCAGTGCCGTGACGTTTGACTGTTTGGTTGGGTTTGTTGTTTGGGCGTTTGGCTGCGTGGCGGGTTTGTTGGTTGATTACGTTTCGCTCGTCCAACTAGTTTGTTCCCCGCGCCGCTCCCTTCAGCCCCAGCCGCTGCCGTCGCAATCGCGCCCGGGCGTTGGACGGCGCTCCGTCTTCCCCTCCTCGCCCTTTCAATCTAGGCCTTGCATGGCGCACTTCTCTTGCGGGGGAGATATTTTCAATTCTTCCTCATTTCCCGGATTCTTCTCGCCCCCGCCCCCCCTTCATCAGCCCCGCCACTGCGCGTGCCCTCCTTCTGTCATGGCGCCCGCGGTGCGAAGAAGTCTCAAGCTGCAATGCCGAGAAGTTTGGCTGTTTAGTTGGGTTTGTTGGTTGGTTGTTTGGTTGCGTGGCGGATTTGTCGGTTGATCAGGTCTCGTTCGTCCTTTTTTTCAGCACTGCAGGATGCGCGCCTCTTTCCCCGCAGCTTGGCTCGTTGTTTGACACATCCGCATCTCGCCCCCCCCGCCCCCTCGCCCCTCGACGTCCTCGCGCGCGTGTCATGCGCGCGGCAGGTCCACTGACGCCCTGACGCGTTCGCAAGCGAACCCGTCGACACGCAGACCCACACACGCCCGACGTAGGCTCACTCACATGATTCTCGCACGTAGTCATTCAGGTTCATTCGCCCTCACAGTAAGCCACATTTAGACACATCGTACCTTGTTGCGCTCATGCGCGGTAGTAGGCTCACCGCACTGTAGCAGACGTAGTAGTGCGCTGCCCCAAGGAGGTGCCGCTTGGGAGGAGTCGTTTGGTGAAACACATTATTTTGTCTTGACAGGCGCGCGAATGCGTGACACTTGGGCGCCCCGACGCACGAACGCCAGGGGGTCGGAGACGCGTCCGTTCGCCATCTCATTGTAAGGATGTTCCAGGCTGTTTCTTGGTTTCTCAAGACGTATAGAAGACGCATGGCCAGCGCGTGATACCCAGGGCCCCACTTGGGCACCCTGAGAAGGAGCCGCCAGGGAGCAGCACGCCTGCCCGTTCGCGCCTAGATTGTGGCGGTCTGCCCGCTGCGCGGGACAGACGCTTCTCTCGTGAGAGCCGCATGGTCGGCGCGACAAGGCTGGCGTTGCATTTTGTCACCCCAAAAGGGGCCGTGCCCGTTCGCGACCGCATTGCGGTGGATGTCTCAATCGGTTTGCACGTTTCTTGGGTCAAGTATTTTTTAGTTGAACAACCATGACCGCCGCGATGTAGCAGGCGTGGCACCAGATCACCCCAAACACAAACCGGCAGGATGTATGCTGTTCGCCCTTTTCGCGCGAATGCCGTGGAGATGTGTCAGGCGGTTTGTTCGCTTTGCGGACGGGGTCGCCCCTTGCGGGGGGCACATGATCACCGCGATGTAGCAGGCGTTGCAATCAGATGCCTCAGCGACGGCCAATGAGGGAGGCATTGGCCCGCTCGC